AAATGACCCCGACTTGACGGAGGTTCCCGTCAGGCCGACCTGATATGATCTGCGCTTCTTAGAGTAATTTTCGTTGGTATATTTTTTTGACACCACAACATTACATTCGGGCTCCGTCCCTGATTTCTAGAAGCAAAAGCAATAGAAATGTTTGCGAACTCCTATATTCCTATAAGACTTTTTCTTCTTCAAAGGAACAACAAGATTTTCTAGACTCCTATAGATATTTATTCATTTATGTGAAATGAGTATGGGGAGAATTAATTTGGAACAGTAAGGAGTACCTCCTTTTTGAATGAACAATAAACATTTAATTGAGAGAAGTTGGAATATTTAAAACAATATCATACCCCATATTAGAATTAATCAATAAAGAAATAGGAATATATTGGGAGGACCAATAATAATGCGTGCAGGTGATAAAAGTCGTCCATGCTGGAGTGGGGTTTCGAAATGCACGTGCAAACAGAAATGCCCTTCCCTGTGGGTTCAATCATTTTTACACGCACACTCCATTAAATGAATACTTGAACAAGTGTTCCGGAGCTTTAATCCAGTGCTCTTCTCCTCACCTATTGAATGACTGATTATTTAGTTTCAAATCCCATTAATTCATTAGTTAATGACATTAATTTATGGGAAGGGAAGCATTTATTACACACATGATGAGTTGTTCTAACACTATTGGCCAAAAATTCAAAGATGACCCATCTTAGGGGATAAAGGTCATACCTTAAAATAAAAAGCATCTCTAGCTATTTAGGGTTAAACAGGTTATATTTTAGAGAGAAAAAACATTAATGTTACACTTGCCTGGGAAAAGTTAGTGTACTTAATCATATTTTTAGTAAAAAAATGCCCCCTTCATCTCAGGAAACTCGACCATATTGACTTTCTTGGTTAATAATGATCAAGTTTGACTAATGCCATTTTTTAATATACGAAATTCTTTCGAGTATAAAAATTAGATGAAAACGTTCTTTGTTGAAAGCACTTTCAAATGAGTATAGAAGTTATAAACTTCACAAGTATAATAATCAAAATCATTGTCCAAATTTTGTTATCATTCATCAAGAAAAGTAAAATGGATCAAGTTCTATGGGGCGGAGGGGGGTTACACTTGCTCCATTCCGATACATTGCTTCATTTGTTGCATGCAGAGTAAAGATGGATGTGCAGCTTCAACGTCGCCAACAAATAAGAACTTCATGCCTTTCGGGGGAGGGCCGCGGTTGTGCACGGGATCAGAATTGGCCAAGCTAGAGATGGCCATATTCATCCACCATTTAGTGCTAAACTACGACTGGAAACTCGCCGGTTTCGACGAAGCTTTTGCCTTCCCATTTGTCGACTTCCCGAAAGGCTTGCCCATCACAGTCTCCCGCACGCCGTCTGCTTCAACTTCACTTACGCCACAACGTACAAGTTGTTGATGTATAGCAACGCATGCAAGCCAAGTTTATATATGTACTCCGAGTCATGGTTAATTGGTTATATATGTGTATTATTCTGTTTTGGAAAAATATCGGTTATCTTCTTAAGTTTTGACATAATATAAATTACGTAGTATTAATTTATTATAAAATGATGATATCAATTCTTATAAAACTCATTGTTGGTCTTAGTAAATCACAAACTATTTATACTAATAAATAGAAGTATAGGGTCGGACAAGGACTAGCATCTAGGCATGGACTGAACCGGGCCCGGTTCCGGGTCAGTCCTAGGCCCGGCCCGGCCCAAAAAAATTCAGAGAGGCCCGGGACTGGCCCGGAAGTTGACTGCTGCCGGTCCGGGCCGGGTCCGGTTCTATTTTTTTTTTATCTTGATTATTTTATCCCCTCCCCATCCCCCCATCCCACAAACCCATCTGAAACACCCATTCCAGCTCATTTAAACCCAGCCCAAAGCCCCAAACCCAAAAAAAAAAAAAAAAAATTGAAAAGGCCTGAATCAGGCCCGGAACTGGCCGGGCCGGTTCTCAATTCCCTCAGCTCGTACTCGGTTCCTGGGCCGGGTCCAAGCCTACTACCATCGGTGTGGTACTTAATTGGTTCCAAAAATCCCCTAACCAGAACTGGTCGTAGTCTTGGACTCAGGCCGGGCCGCCCGGCCCGGAACCGATCTGGGACCGGTACTGTGTGGGCCCGGCCCGCCCCGGTGACCCGCTACAGTCCGGTTCGGGTAGGCCCGGCCCACTGGTTAGTGAAGGACGGGCTTAGATCAGCTGAATATGGAACTGGCCCGGCTGGGCCGGGCCCGGTTCGGGCTTTATTATTATAATTTTTTTTCAATTTTTGTTAAAACCTGGGTTGGGCTCGGTATTTTGGGCCATTTGGGGTGGTTTGGGGGTGGGGGTGAGGGGGGTCGGGAGTTAATTAGAAAAAAAAAAAAATACAAAGCGGCCCGAGGCCCGGCCCGGCCCGGACCCGGCGGCAACCCGGGCCGGTCCCGGGCCTACCCCCAAACACAAAAGGCCCGATCGGGCCCAATCCGGCCCGGCTCCATGCCTAATTGGCCGGCTTCGGTTATTTTTTGGATTCAAGGCAGTGTATAATTTGTTAATAAATGCAAGGCTTGAAAGATAAACTGCCTATTCGTCTAGAATCTAAAACATAAGATTGTTGATATATACCTAAATGATTAAAATCTATTAATCTAACACTTAAATAAGTCATAGAAAGGTCCATAAAATGTTTTTGTGAATATGTATATATGTAGTTGGCAAAAGGACTATTTGCCATATATGGGTTATATTATCTTCATGAATCCCTCTTGGATCCTAATTTGTGTGCTATGTTAATGGGAGAGGGGCATATTAACCACCAAAGATATTGGAGAAAATCGATAAATACACCTTCATAGTATATCAAAAAGTTAATTAAGCAAATCTAATCTAGAAAAACACTCAATTATGGTCATGAATTTCATAAAAACAATCAAACATTTGATTTAGAATGTCAAAACTCGGTTAGCCAATTATTGTGCTTACATGGCGAGTTGGGGACACCCCCTTAATGTTTTTCTTTTTCTTTCTTTCTTTCTTCTTCTCTCCCATTCTTGTTTCTTCATCTTTCTCCTTCATCTGCAGGCCCATCTCAATACAGATCATACACTAAAGTAGCAAAAGAGTCTGTGCTACTCAGATATCTCTAGTGGAAACTTGATTCGACTGATTTCAGGAACCCCATTTCGCATGAATTATTTATTCATCTGCGCATTGACTTTGCTTCATAGCTCAGAAATTGAAGGTAGTTTCTGAGCTTTGCATTGTCTAGTCGATCCTTCCCTTCCACATTTTACTAGCTACAACCTTATTTTCATTGGAATTTGAAATTAGCCATTGCACGAGTTTCTATTCACCAATGCAACTTCCGGTGGGATTTCCGGCAACTGCATTGCTTGGCAACCGGAAAGAAAAATGGATTGGGGTCTCTTCGACAAGACATGCCTCCAACTATTTTTATTTTAATTTTCTGGACGCTTTTAACATTTTAAACTCCTTTTCATTATCTTTTTCCCAAATCTTCTTGCCAGTTGCCACGATCTACCCTCGGGTTTAAATGATACAAACCTCGGCCTACATTAGCATTTGACCATGTTCCTTGAGGATGTTTTCTTTTGGACTGTTTTCAGTCCCAGACCAGACCAGACTTAAACGGATCAGACTAAACCAGACCAGATCAGATCATACCAGACTTCCGTAGTTATAAAATATACAGAGACTAGACGTTTACCAGACCAGACCAGACTTAAACAGACCAGACCAGAACTGCAAATTTCAGTCCAAAAGAAAACATCCTAAATTCATGGCCTCATGGGTTTGATTGTGTTTTAGGTTCAAGGGTTTAATCGATTTTTTTCAAAAAACTTCCAAGGGTTTATACAACCATTTTTTTCAATATTTTGCAAACGTATAGCACTAGTATTTTGAGAGCAAAACCCCCCAAAATTTACTATTGTAATGGCTACGTATCTCATCAGGCCCGTCCTACGGTATGGCCGCATGGGTAAAGAGACATTTGTGGAGGCCTTATGTCTCCCACGAGGACTCATAACATTTTCAATCATGTTACATGTTGAAGAACTAGCCAAGTCATATAGATAGATATGGACATGTGAATTGGCCCGTTTTATATCGAGTCAGTTCTGCTTGCACTAATAGGCAAAAAACATGGAATAGTTTGGCCCAAACTTATCGCGGCCTCATTTTAAAAATGTCTACTCTTTCACAGTTTCACTCACCCTTTCGGCCTTTCCCCAATCAAACATGATACGGAGTATATAAATCATCTAGCTCATTTTAAAAATGTCTACTCCTTCACTCGCCCTTTTCCCAAATCCCAATCAAACATGATATAACTCATCTACCAACTTTTGAAGGGAAGAAAGGTCGAATGGTTGATCCACACCTTAAGTTTTTGGTGCATTTTTTTTGCCATGGTTTGATCGTTGTGGCACCTTTGGTGGTGAAATTGAGTAAAACCTGTTTGCTTGGATTGAAATTTACAAGTTGCATTTGGTCTTTCATCTTTAATTGATAGTTTTCAATTAACAAATCTCACCTTTCGCGTCCTCAATTGATAATTAATTTATTTTTCATGTCCTGGATTAATGAACTATGCAGAACAACTACTCCGTACTAGTTTGAAAGTGTATATGTTTGACAAATTAAAATAAATGAGCATGGAATAGAAACTCATGTTCTCTTCAAGTAATAGTTAGATCTTCAATTGTCAAACATATACACTTGAAACTCATGTTCTCTTTCAGATGTTATCCAATAGCAAATTTGAGCATGGAATTTTTTGATGAAATTTTTTGAGCATCTTATTCATTAAGTCTAGTTTACTCATACCAAATTTCAGATAAAAATTCAATCGGGAAGACATTCAAATGAATTCTTGAAGATAACTGTGCCGTTAAAAACGCTGTTATCTTCAAGAATTCATTTGAATGTCTTCCCGATTGAATTTTTAGCTGAAATTTGGTATGAGTAAATTAGACTTAATGAATAAGATGCTCAAAAAAAATTATCATAAAATTTAACCGGGAGCCACCTCAAATGGCACGTCTGGACAGAATCTTCTATATAAGGACTTATTTGACGCCTTTTTTGCAACTTCGAGGACCAAACTGACCCTTTACTCTATAATTAAAATAAAGTTTCCCTCACTAAAATTGAATGGTTGATATGATCGAACGGTTGAATAATGAACAAAAAATTCTGGACTGTTGGAATACTTTTTGGCCAAAATAGAACTGGCCTGGCGGGAGCACACCGGACTTGATCTTTCCCTCTTTCCCCTACCTCTCTTTTTGTGTGTGTACAATTCAGTGATACAATATAATCTATCCATACGAGTTGATATTCGAGGCCAATGAGCTCCTCAGTATTAGGCTGTAAACGAAAGTCAAGGAACAAAACGCACCTCCACTGAGGAAAACATGCATGCATGGCAGAAGGAGCTCCTCAGTCAAAAACTCGCTCTCCAGTAGAGAATAATAGAAAAATAAAAGAGCTGAAAATACAAAGAAACCCTGGAATGGTAAAAACAGCCATCCAGCTTTCTGCGCTTGTAAGATCCAGTCTAGAACGCTTAGCAGATTCTAGCAGCCGTCCAGTAAGATCTACTCCAACAATTCCAGCTAATGTTCCGGCTGTATTAGAAACACCCATTAGAATTCCAGCATACCTGGGAGCAATATCCATGTGATTAATGGCAAACCCTGCTCTTCCCAAAGCCAAGAAACCAAGAGCCACTGAAGAACAAAACAATGCCCCACTGGGTGTTTCGAACAGAGGAAGAGCCATCAGTGCGAATGAAGCCACAACAAAACCGAGAGTGTTCAAAAGTTTTCTCGTTTTGGTAATAGAAAAGATTCTTTTTGTGATAAAGTGGTCAGCAGCCACCCCGCCGATATTTGAAAACACGAACATGTTGAAGTAAGGCATCATCTTAGAAGATCCCATATCTTGAAGGCTGATTTGGAGGCCTAACTCAAAATATGTAGGGAGCCAGTTCATGAGCACATAGAGAGCGTAATGAAAAGTGAAATTGTTCACAACAATTGCCCAAACTGGTAAGCTAAGTACGATTTGCTTCCATGGAATTTTGGGACTTCTGTTAGGATTCCCTCCATGCTCTACTTTCATCTTCACACTTCCTTTGAGTGGAAGCAAGGTTTCCCCATAGCCGGCAGCAGTTGCTTTTGGATGAGCGGAATGTGGCGGGTCACTAGAAAACCTTAACCATAATAGGGACCACATTCCACCTAAAGCAGCTTCAGCTAAAAACACAGATTGCGGACCTCTGAACTTTACAAGGGTAGGAAGGATGAGCATGCCCATGGCTGCACCTAGATACATTCCAGAAGTTGTAAGAGAAACAGATCGTGATCTTTCATGTGGGGGTACCCATTGTGCTAAGACAGTGTGAATGGAAGGAAATATGAAGCCTTGGGCCACACCGACAAGCAAGCGGGCAATCACTAAAACCACTTCTCTGTTTGGATCAAGGGGTACCAATGCACATGTTAGGGACCATAAGACAAATGAAAGGAGAAGAACACGCCTGCCCCCAATTCTTTGGGCTGCCCAACCACCTGGGACCTGTGAGCAGGCATACCCATAGTAAAATGATGACAGAATCATGCCTTTGCTAGCCTGATTCACACCAGCAGCATCAGCAGCAACAGTGTAGGCAATGGAAAAACCAACACGCTCTATATAGCAGACAGATGTACAAATGAAGGTCAACAAAACAATCTGATAGCGTACTGGAAACCTTGTGCTCTTCATGATTTTCCAGTTTCAGTAATGTGAATCATATGTATCTGTTTCAAAAAGCAGATTAGCTTTCACCCAAAAGACCACCTAGAAACACACTTACTTCTAACTATTACTAGTACGATAATTCAACAGACTTTAATCACTCTCAGATTCATTGAAGTTACTATCCTAGCATACAGGAAATCTAAAAACAAAATCATTTAGAAAATAGGATCATGATACTTTTAAAGTTTTAATAGAAAATGAGGATATTTCAAATGAATCAACTATGCAGAACTGCAGTCCTCAGAGTATGAAATAGGCTCAACACTATACAAACACTTAGGTCCTGTTGGCTTCAATTTTCATAACCTGTTTTTTCTAGATTTCATTCCCCATATATACTTTATATAGAATCTCAAAACATGTTTGCTACTACTTATTTTCAAAAAAAAAATATAGCACAATGAAACAAAAATGCAATAGCATATTACCATTTAATTTTAAAGTTGAAAATTCATAAATATATTAAAGCTAAATAAAAACACCTTATCATACAGCAAAATATCCACAAAAGATATGAATAATAATGTAAAACAAAAGTGTCATTCTGTATGATACCACTCAGCTAATTCTAGTGCTAAGTTGTGATATCACACCATAAATGCAAAGGCACAAAACACCATAAACTTCCGTATAAATAGTAGCAAAGTTTTGCCAAATGAGCACCACCTAAGAAACTTCAAACTAATCACTCTAAAGAAGTCCAAACGATACACACGCACCTATATGATTTTCAAAAAATACTCAAAAAAGAATATAAAAATGTTATATTTGTTCACAAAATACATGGAAATTGAAATCCTAGAATAAGTCAATAATAAAATTCGGTTTTAATCATAAACCATAAATTAGGAATGGAGAAAAGGGTGTACAAGTGGTTATATACAAAAAAATAAGTGAATCTTTTACCTTCTTTTGAGTGGTTATGCAGATTGAAGCCGAGCAGATATCAGCGAGCTCTTCTGTAAGAAAAAAAAAAGACCCTTAGCAGTTAATCCAGTTAGCTTTTACAAGTTTCAACTTAGAACCCTAAATGCTTCGTATACACAAATGACAAATTTTAAAAGTCTAAAGTCCTCAAGTGAACAAAAACAAAAATATCTGCAACATCATACTTTTTTAAAAATAATATTTTAAAATCCATTCAAAACGCTAGATTAAAATTGAGTGCTTGAACTTACTTTTTGAAGCAATTAAGCCGGATTGCCGAAATATGTATTGGAGATTTGAAGAGGACAACCGGAAAGGCCACAGGCGGCGGAGACGCCGAATCAGTAAGCGGTTTTAAGAGGCGCATAGGCGGCCGGCGCTGGCTGTAAGAGCACTCACGCCACACGGCGACACGGCGTTCCTGCTTTTCCCGTTCGCGTCGCAAGTGAGCAAGTCCGAACTTAGAAGTCAGTTTGCCTGGCTCTCGCTGAGTCGCTGTAGACGGCTTCTATTCCTGGTTTTACTTTGTTTAGGCCAAAAATAGCACTTTATGCCCAATAAATCATAATATTAAAATGTCAACCCGTATTTATCACATTGTAAATATCATTCCCGAATTAACAAATTGGTTGTAAATGTCACTCTTGTTTATAGTCCATCTCCAATTCCGGATTATTAATAAATTCATCATCCGACATTTACAACACATCTGTCGATAACATTTATAAACTCGAAAACATAAGTCTTACATTTAGTGACTAATTGAGGAATCAAAAGTGCGATTTTCTCTTTAATTAATTTTGTTCCTCAAATTTAATTTATCTCTCTTTTAATACCCACTTTACTCTTTCAAATATAAGTCTTTAAGTTTTAATCTGTTTCCCCATTTTACTTATAAAATTAATTTTTACACTAAATTTTCTAAGTAATTTTTATTTTATTATAAAAACTCTTATAAAGTTGAAAAAGAAAGGATAGGGGCATTAAATATAGGGAAAAATAATTTATGTCCCGAATTTTGAAGAGGTGTGAGATAAGTACCTCAAACTTGCACATCTAATCTATGTATCCTAAACTTAATAGAAAAAATGATGTTAGCACCATGATTATATATTTTTCACAAATGTAATATTATGATGTAAGTACATAATAAAATACACAAAACATTTATGACGATGCAATGGAAATTAAATTGTATTGGTGTAATATTATTTATTTCACAAATGAAATTCTATAAGGCTTAGAGTAATTTAAATTATGTAATTATTCCAAAAAAAAATTAAATTTGTAAAAAAAACATGCAATCATGGTGCAAAAATAACTTTTTATCTAAAGTTCGGGGTATAAATATTACATATGCAAGTTTAGAGTACTTATTTCACACCGTATTAAAGTTTGATATATTTAAATTATTATGTCCTTAAATATATTATATATAGTAGCCCTAATTTTTTTTATCCGGAGTGGTGTCGCACTGTCGTGCACAATTTTTATCCTAGGAGAAACGCAGACAATGAAATAAGGGTAGGGAAATGCAGAGGGCTGGAAAGAAGAGAGGAGAGAATAGGCCGGCCGGGTTATTACTGGTGGTTCATTGACTTTATTTCGTTAGGAAATAGGAATGATTGGGTTCAAAATTGAGATGTTTATACATCACTTCCTCAAAAAAAAAAAATCTTCTAAATTTTTTATTGGACCCATTTTATTAGTTGAATGAAAAGTTCAACTAATAATTTTTTTCTTTCTAAATTTGTATTGGACCATTTTATTAGTTGAATGAAAAGTTCTTCAACTTTTCAAAACATCCTTCAATAAAAAAAGGGAAGGTAAAAACCCCACAGTCTAAACTAAAAAAAATTAAAAAATTGATTTGGCAAATGTTTTTTTTTAAAGAAAGACACTCATTTGTTCGTAATATTAAAAGTAACAGTAGTCAAAGCAGAGCAACAACTCAGAGCAGCTCTGGAGCGAGACATAGAACTAGCTAGCCCAGGAGGCCGTGCCAGATCGCTAACTCCACAATATGGTAGGTTAAACTATCAGCAACGCTGGACTTGTTACTAGAACAGAAATATAAAAAAACGTTCAAATTCCGAAAAGGAACATAATCAATAAACTTTATGGTTTCTCCAGCCACCTCCAAAGGAAGCATCCTGCTCACAAGCTCTAATAGAATTTCAGACGGTGCTGATCTTGTAGTAGCGCCGCAGAGCCGTTTTTGGTCCATTATCAACAACCTCCATAGTTGAAACCAAAACAAAGTTGATTTGGCAAATGTTCAATGAAGGTTTCAAGTACAAAGTGGAGTCAAAACTTTAAATTCCATTCCAATACTAACGCAATTTTAAAGTTTACTCCTAACGGCTTTCAATTTTTTATATTGCATAATTGAATCTTAACAACCTCACATTTCACAAGTACACATTGCGACCACACACACATCTTCCAAAAATGACTCTCCATCTTTCATAAATGCTTCCCCTTTATCTTCACCCGCAAACATGCACACAAGAACAATAAATAATTGAGGGAAAGCAGGGACAAATATCAAAAGCAAGAGATTGTCGAACACTTAAAAGAGAGTGTAGTTGACTAAATCTCACTCAGTTATACTTCCTCCGTCCCCTAATTAAGTTCTGTGTTTGACTTCACAGGTTTTTAGCTGGAATTAATTTGGGTGTTGACGTACTTTTCCTAAATACCTTTTGAGGGTAAACCTCAGGCCCCACGGTTAAAAGGGGAGGGATGGGTCTGGTTTCCTTGTACATTGTTGTGTACAGACAGTGTTACTTGCCCCGAATTTAAAGGGGTAGGGGGGATCTAGAGTGATGAAGTTCACAAACCAAAATTTACACTGTTTCACAATTTGGAGGCTTCCCTGCAAAATTATAGAAACCAATACAAACTAAACTTTTTTAAAAGTTCCCTCCATCACACATTTGACCATTTATAAATAGAACTATCTACTTATTCCTTCTTCATTTATGGCAAAGCTTCATTAATGGCCACCACAAACAGCAACTGAGACTCTTCATTAATGGCCACCACCTCCCCTTTCAGCAGCCCGACATGTACGCCTCCTTTTCAATTACTCATCTCAAACATACCTGGCCAAACATAAGAAGAACAAGAAGATGTACAAACACAGCCAGAAGGAGAAGAGAATATTTCTGGCCACAAGCACTAGCCGAAACTGACAAGTTGAAAGACTGCTACACAGTTGTAATGAAGGGAAACTTCAGCGGGGTACAAAAACTAACACAGCCAAAGATTTCAACATTTCTACACGCATTATGCATAAAATGTGGGGGCTAGCCAGAGAACATTTGGAAGGGGGGAAGCCATAAATGTGCCCCACAATTGGAAAGGAAATGTGTCTAGGAAAAGAATAACATTTGATTTGAACAAAATCACAGAAATTCCATTTCACCAACGCAAAAACATCAGGGCCCTAGGTTATGCAATGAATGTGTCCAAGTCAGTAGTTCATAGATGGTTGAAGACTAAGCAGTTAAAAAGGAACTCAAATGTAATAAAGCCTATATTATCAGATTCTGGTAAGATATAGAGGTTAGAGTATTGTTTGAACCACATTGTTTCCTCCTCATTCCCAACTAGCGCCGCTTTTCATGACTTTTATGATCATATACACATTGTTGAGTTTTAAAAATATATACGGAGTATAATGCAGTACACAATTGCGAAAATTATTAGGGGTGAGACAAAAATACCGAACCGGCATGGTACCAAACCGCACCGTACCGGTTCTCAACAATGCCATGACCGGTTCTCATAAAATGAGAACCGGTACCGAACCGAACCAGACCGAAGTATGATTTTAATTATTCAAAGAATAATTTCACTCTTGATCCTACAAGTTTGATTTCAATTTTACAATTAGTCCACTTCTTTTGTTTTGTCCACTTTTGATACATCACTATTGTATTTTCGCCCATATATGGTTCTTCCGACAATGTTTTCGATGATTAAAATCGCTGGAGAAGGACCACAAATGGTCAAAAAACATTAATCAAGTACCAAAAGTGGACAAAGTGAAAGACGTGGACTAAATGTGGAATTGACATAAAATTCGTAGGACCAAAAGTGAAATTATTTAAATGTATATTTATACCATTAATTTGATTAGTGCCTTCGCACTTTCATGGTCTTTGCTAGTTCACTGAAAGCTTGGAACCGGACCAAAGTATAGTTTAATTATTTAAATTTGTACTAATATAGTTTATCTAAAATTTATTAATTATGTAATATGAAAATTGATAAATTGTGTGGTATTTTGAAGGATAGTTAAACTTTAATTTCCTTTCAAACACTTGGAAAAAATAGCATTGTTTGGTATTGGTATGACATGATATCGTCCCGTTTGAAAATGGAACCATACCAAATGGGTTTAGGTCTAAGACCGAACCAAACCGTTTGAATAGTTACGGTACGGATTCGGCGAAATATTGGACCGGATCATGCTCACCCCTATGAAACATGGTTTTCATGTAAAAAAAACATCACAACGCATCTACATTGGTTTGGAAGCGCAAGATCCATACAAAGTTTACAAGTATTTTCTTTAATTATTTCTAAATATTTTCGATAAATGCGAACATGCCTAAAATCATGTTCATTTATAAAAATATACCATCTATTATTATCTAAATATTTTCTTTTTTTGTAGCCACGTGGATTGAAATTGAAAAAATCTTCTTAAATGATTCAAAAAAACTTTGTGATCTGCTTATAAATAAAAATAAATAGGATGTTTTGAAGTCCATAATTTTAAGAGGATTTTCAAAAATTTAAGAAAAAAAAGTTTGTTAACAAAAATATTACTAATATAATGTTTACAAGTGCAAAAATTGAACATAAGTTACTAGGGCCGAACCTCTTGTTGAGGCAAAGAGGCAATTGCCTCAGGCTCCAAAATTTTACTAAAAAATATGGGCCCATAAATAATTGTTTACTAGTATTATATTTACACAATTTTTGCATTTCATATTAAAATAGCAAGAATACAAATAATATCAATCAAAATAATATCATGCAGTATGTGTGTTTTAATTTTTTGATGTGGGCATATAAATTAAATTACTGCTTATGAATCTTAATATCCAAATTTTACATTACTCAAGAGCCTTTTGCAAAAAATCGACTCGGGCCAAAAAAATGTTAGGATCGGCCCTGAAAGTTATTATTATAGTTACTGCACTTTTTTGAAAATATAGCCACTTTACTTAAGATGTTACAATTTTGTAAATAACCTTTATTTTAGTCATAAATATATAATTGTTTATTATTTTTAACAACTCGTTATATTTAATGTATACTTTTTTAGTATTTTTGTGAGTTCTTATGCGTAGTTACTAAATGTGAGGTTTTAAGAGTTGCAGCCTTGTTTTCATTTTCTTTGTCAGGGACAAGTTTTACCTTGTACAAGTATCTTTTATAATATTCAAAAAGTCTTCAAAGTTTTTTAATTCTATCTTTTCATATGCCTGTTTTTTTTTG